CAGATTTTATTTCATTTAGTTTCATTTCATTTTTACCTCGCTCTCCGTCCGGTCCAGTTCGGAACGGCTCGGCTCGCGGTTCGGGCTGTCCCGGGTCAGAACCGGAGCGGCAGTCAGCCAGGATGTCCCGGATCAGGAAGCTGATGGAGCGGGGCTGCGGCGGAACCTCCGCCGGGGAGAGGCGCTCCGCGGGCGGCCGCGGGGACAGCAGCGAGTCGATGAGGAAGCCGGAGCCTCCGGAGGCGGGAAGCTCCATCTCCGGCGGGACTCAGGTGAGTTTGTTCCTCCAGATGTTGGAAACATCAGGAACCGTGACGTACCGGCCGAGGCGTGACGTCATCGACAGCTCAGGTTAAAAATAATCAGCGGAAAATGAGCCAAATCTCAAAGAAGCTGGTCACCATGGTAACCACACACCTGTCTGTCACTCCCTGACTGCTGAGTTCATAAAAAAAATAAGCCTCAAACTATCAGCTGTGTGCAAAAGTTCTAATCCAGGTCTTTACAGGTGAGCAGAGGTTGTTCCAGGTGATTTATGTTTTTAGAAATAAACACTTCCTGTTTAGAAGAAACAGAAATAAAAACAGACTTAAGGGAAAGAAAACAAAAACATATTTAAAAAATTGTTTGAGTAAATATAGTTTAGTAAAACTTTAGACGGCTTTAAACCCGAGTGACGTCATCAACTGTCAGATCTGTGGAAACATCTAAAAATAAATCAACTTTAGCTGCGATTTAAAAACATTGATTAGTTAAAGTACCAGTTTTCTAAAAAGCATTTGGAACATTAAACATAAATGGTTAAAACAGTCGCAGCTGAGATGAACAGTTGTTGAGAAATTCACATGTGAAGAAACAGGAAGTGATGTCATAGGGGAACATCTGCACAGAACAGTTAGCAGCTAACAGCTAACAGCTAACATGGACTGTAGAGAAGAATCTCATTTTTCTTTAGATTATTTTGAGTTTCTGTCAGAGATGAAGAGTTTATTTATTTCAATAATCAAAGAACAGGAAGTTCTTTTCTTAAAGAGGTCCTCTTTGATGTCACTTCCTGTTTCACTTGGTTTGGCCCGGTTCAAAATAAAATGTTATGTTATGATGTTATGTGATAAAATGGGTGAAATCATGTTTTGACTTTTGGTATTTGAAGGTCAGTGACACTTCCTGTGTTTACACTGAATCCTGTGTTTACACTGAATCCTGTGTTTACACTGAATCCTGTGTTCACGCTGGATCCTGTGTTTACACTGAATCCTGTGTTTACACTGAATCCTGTGTTTACACTGAATCCCGTGTTTACACTGAATCCTTTGTTTACACTGGATCCTGTGTTTACACTGAATCTTGTGTTAACACTGAATCTTGTGTTAACACTGAATCCTGAACGTTAGATCCTGGCAGGATTTTCAAACAGAAGTAATTATGATAAATAGCTGATAAATGTTGTTGCACGTTGTTTTTATTTATAATTTGCTTTAGTAACAAAGTCATGAATGTACTTTGATTATTCTAAAGAAACTATAAGTTTGTGTTTTATGATGTGAAATATTAAATATTTGGACAGAACAGAACTGATCTGAGTCTAAAGACGCTCAGAGAACATTTAGCTTCATCAGATCTGTTGAGGTTCCACAGCAGAACCCTGCTGTTAGCATTAATGCTAACATGTCCTCAGACTGTGTCCCTCGGAGCCTGGCGACCTCTGTGGACCCCATATTTGGAGCGGTGGGTCTGAAGCGCTCGCCGACGAGCCTCCGGGTCCCTGAAGGTGTCGAGAGCCGGGGGGACCTGCAGGGGCAGAGGGGAGACCACCTGATGACAGTTAGTCCAGGTGGGTTCATGCTCAGGGGGCAGGGCTTACCTGAGACCACTGAGGCGGGCTGAAGGGGGTCTGTAGGACCGGCAGAGACCGGTTTTTCCTCAGCAGGCTGGTTCTGTTCTCTGCAACACGACCCGGTTTGACCTGAAGACAAAGGAGGGTCATTCATGTCCAGGACAGAGGACATCCTGAGGGTCTCTGTCTCACCTGGTGTTCCTGGTTGCTGGTTTGATTACTGCTCTGCTCCTGGATCCAGCGGTGAGCGTAGGAGTAGGACAGCAGGTCAGCGAGGGGAGACGCGGGCCTGACGACATGTTGGGCGGTTAGAGACGGGTCAGTTCTGCTCCTGGTTCTGAGGTTCTGTTTCTCACCTGTTCTTGACGCCGAACGTGACGTCGGGCAGGACCGGAGGGGGACGAGAAGCCCCGCCCCTGTGTCGGCCCGAAGCCCGGTTCTGGGCTGTGGTCCTGCCCACCTGGTGCCGGTACCGATTCAGCTCTTTGGACGTAATCAGTCCGGACCTCACGGCGTTCCGGTTCAGGGACACGAAGTCCAGGGTCTGGGTGGAGTCCTCACATCTGGGCTGGACATTCCAGCTGGACAGAACTGAAGACAGAACCAGAACCACTGAGACCAGAACCACTGAGAGGACCAACAGAACCAGAACCATTGAGACCAGAACCACTGAGACCAAAACCACTGAGAGGACCAACAGAACCAGAACCATTGAGACCAGAACCACTGAGAGGACCAACAGAACCAGAACCATTGAGACCAGAACCACTGAGACGACCAACAGAACCAGAACCATTGAGACCAGAACCACTGAGAGGACCAACAGAACCAGAACCATTGAG